ACCCGTCTGTCCCCGTGGCCAGAGGATGGCAAGGGCAGAGTAGACTTCGGAGGGACAGATGGGCGGAGGCCATACGGAAGCCTGCTCCGCGTTCGGGACGGACTGGGGGAAGTGTGGGGCGGGCTCCCGGAAGCCTGGGAATTCGGGGCATAGGGAGGTGGTTGTGTCCATGTGTCCAGGGCGTCTTCCGGCCCCGTCTGATCATCCGTGAGGATGCAGGGTTTCGTGCATGGGGTGAGGGGCACTCTGACGCGGGGTTCTCCTCCCTTTTTAACCATAAGGAGAGAAGGGCATGTGGATCCTGGGAGTTTCCGTTGACACTGTTTAATGTAACCGGGTCTTGCCTTGGCGATATCCAGCCATGTCTCTATATATGGAATCTGATCTGGGTGTCCGGGACTCCCAAGGATCACAGCCTCGACGTTCCTAATCAAGATCAAATCAAAAGAGCCCACTGAGGGCCATCCCATGTCAAAAGTGGTCCATTCTAATTCACAAAGGGTCCGGAGGGTTCCTGGCTTGACGGAGACCCCGAATCCTGAAGCCCTTTTAAAGAAATCAGAAAAGTTATTCAGAAGACATTGCAAAGGGGTGGTCGGGATGGACTGGCCCTGCCCCATTTTCCAGTCCTGAAAAAGATTACTCAAGTGTCAGATCAATAAAACAGACGACAAAACATCAACAAGACAGACGATAGACGGCAACAAGACAGACAAGACGGACGATCTAAACAGATGCACAACCTAAACAGGAACTGAGGCCGGAAGCGACGTCTCGCCCCAGACCGGAAAGTAGCCCTTGCGCTGCGTCCAGCAGGCTTTTCTTTCCAATACCGGATCTGCAGATATTCAGAACAGATGGCGGGTAACCGCCGTGCGCACTTACCGGTAATTTCTCTCTCGGCCAGTCAGACGTCCCACCGACCCGGGGTAGAGGCAAAAAAATGCCTATGGGCCCGTTCCTGGTGTCGGGGGAACGCAAAACGTGTCGGGGGAACACAATAAGTCTCGGGATCTCGCTGGGGCCTCCAAATGTTGTAAGCCGCGATTTTACGGACGAGACCAGAGACTGGTTGGAATTTTTGGAGAGAGATTTATTAACCTGCGGGGACCAAGCACTCCAGGAGTGTGGTGCCGAGCAGACAAATGCAGCTATTTTTATACTCTTTTACAGCTATGCAGGTGCTTGAATGAGAGCGGACAATGGGGAACCCCACTGAGTTACATTTGCACATTTTGCACCTTTCCCATGCTAAGGCAAGCAAGCGAGGTTACAAGGGCGTGACGCTGGCAGTTATGCTTGAGCGTAGCCTACTTTGTTTTCCTCCTTGCATAGCGTGCACATTCGTTGGGGTTCCTGTTCTTGTTCACGCGAACAGGACACCCTGATCATGCTTTCTTTTACCCGTGACGAGCCATGCCCTGGCTGCATGTTTGATTATGGGGGGGTTACCACATGTATTTCAGCCCTAATTAAAATTCC